CAACATCCATGCATGCAGGGTGGACTGGAGAGATGGAATGGGAAAGGCACTTACCATGCTTACAGCGGACCTGTTTGATCTCAGCACCTCATATGGCCCCCTGAACCCCACTTGAAGTGACTCCTTGAGAACAGAGCTGGAAATAGATCCTGAGCACCTCCAGATGTGGCCCCAGGGGACTGAGTGGCAGTACAGTGAGGAGCGCTTGCCTTGCACCTGGCCGACCCAGATCTGATTCCCAGCATCCCATATGATTCCCTGAATCCTCCAGGAATGATCCTGAGCACACCCTTGGGTGTGACACCCCCAAAACAAACAGATGAGACCCCAGATAACACCCTATCCCAAATATCCACACATACAAACACTGACCCAGCACCTTCAGACACACTCGAGCACAATATAGACACAGCCTGAGAGGGATTAGCCCGTGTTCACAGAAACATTTTTCCTCTCCTGGAAGAAAAATCAAAAGCTGCCAGGGCCATTGGCTTTGGGGGAGAGCAGAGAAATTGGGTGCCATGAGCTTCCTGTTTTCAATTCCATCATGACCTGTGTGTACCCCAGTCCTGGGACTATTTCAGCAGTAGGATTAGAGTCATCTCTGGTTTCTCTATTTAGAAGGATCTTTACTCAACAAGCACCAGCACAACCTAAAAATACACATTAGAAAGCCACATTCTAGGCTGCAGCAGCTTTGGAAAGGCTTGGTTTTCTGGCTTTTTTGGTGCTTTATTATGTTTTGGGAGCCACAATCAGCAGTGCTCAAGATTTATTCCTGGGTCTGTGTTTAGGAATTACTCCTGGTGGTGTTCAGGGGACCAACTGGGGTTCAGAGATTGAACCTGGGTTGGTTGTATACAAGACCAGCACCCTCCCCACTGTACAGTCACTCCAGTACAACTCTGGCTTTAAGACCTTTTTTTTTCCTTCCTGTTGGTCTGAATGCTCTAGAAATCTGTTGCTGAGTAAGACAATGGGCATGCTCAAATATCTTGCCCGGGCATGTCCCTGATTGGAGAGATCATGAAGCCAAACAGCTGCCCCAAGAAATGACAAGACACATCTTCTAAGAATGGATAGAAGGGCTTTGTAGCCTGAAAGCATCGGGAGCAAGTTACAACAAGGGGTTTGCTCTGCTTGGCTTCATGCAGGCCAGGCCAGGTATTCCCCTGGGGACTTTCCTGTGAAATGACTCACATTTCACAACTTCATTCAGAGATTCACAGCACGTACGCACACACACAGGCCCCTCTCTGAGCCACCCATCTGCATGGAACTGAGATTAGAATTTACCAATCACGTAAGCAGGAGACTGGTGCTGAGAAAGTGACATAAGCTAACTGAACAGCCCTTAAAATGAAAAGAAAAATATTGCAATCAAACACGTCTGGGGCCAGTGAGCTACTATATTAAGGCACTGGTTCGATCCCTGGCACCACACAGAATTCTTCAAGCATTTCCAGGATTGTTCCTTGAGCAAATTCTGGAGTAAGGCCTGGGCACTGCCAGGAGCTCCCCTCCTGAAAAGCTTCTGTAGGGCTGCATATAGGAAAGGAAAAAAGGTTTTGCTTCAGGGGTAAAGCCTTAATTGTGGGAAGCACCAAGTTCAATCCTCAGAAGAGCAAAATAAGAAAGAAGTTTTGGCATATAATACTGGAGGGGGGGCATATGATTTGCTATACAGAGTGTTATTTTTTTAGAGCTTTATCATTTGTAGGTGACATACCAGTTTGAAAAGTCAGATCAGAGAGATAATACAGTGTGTGATGTACTTGCTTTGCTCCCGGCAGATTTGGGTTTGATTTCTGACACCTCATATAGTCCCCTAAGTCCACCAAGAGTAACCCGAGCACAGAGCCAGGAGTAAGACCTGAGATCTGCTGGTGTGGTCCAAAACCAGAAAGAAAGAAAAAAAGAGGAGGTGGGAGAGAGGGAGAAAGAGGAGAGGAGAGAGGGAGGGAGGGAGAGGGAGAGAGAAATGGAGAGAGGGAGAGAGAAAGGGAGAGAGGGAGAGAGAGGGAGAGAAGAAAGAAGGGAAGGAGGGAAGGAGAAGAGGGAAGGAAGAAGGGAGGGAGGGAAGGAAGGAAAGAAGGGAGGAAGGAAGGGAGGGAGGGAGGGAGGGAGGGAGGGAGCTTGAGAAATAGGCAGCCAGATAGAAGTACCTCTGGCATGAGGTCTCGGGAAGAAATAAAAACCAAGATGGGTTGTAAGAAGTTACTGCCACTCCCCTTAACATGGCCCCAAAACATTATGGCTGGGCTCGCTTTGTGGACACAGGAACTGAGTCCTGAGGAGAGTCTAACTGGCGCCTGCACAGACCAGACAAGGCCGACCCCGACCCAGGTTCAGAGAAAGGCTCCAGCAGGAACAAAGAGTCGTGATAAGGACATGGAAGTGAACATTGTCATTCCAAGCTGTTCCCCTTGACAACACCCTAGCAAGGCACTCCTGTCTCTGTAGGAAGTCCCACAAGAGGAAGCAAACCTCTAAGACCAATTCCACGAGGCGCTCCCTCCCTCTGCGAGGCAGCCTGCATCTCTCAAAGTTTGGCTCTTCCCTCTGAGAATCTCACACTTTAAAAAATATTTTTGGTGAGGGGCACACCTGGCAGTGCTCAGGGTTTATTCCTGGCTCTATGCTCAGGGGTCACTCCTGGAAGGGGTCACTCCTGGAGGTGCTAAGGATCAAACCCAGGCTGGTCACCTGTAGGCATGTGCCCTGTCCTTGTAGTCTCATCTCAGCCCCTCTTCCACTTTCATAACTTCATTTCTAGTTTCTTGACACATCAAAAATATTTTGGGGTGGAGATGGATCACACATGGTGGTGCTCAAGGTTTCTACCTGGCTCTGTGCTCAGGGGACCCTATGTGGTGTCAGGCGTGAACCCCAGATTAGTGGTATATGAACACTTTTCCTCCCACAAACACCCCCACCCCTGTATTTGCGAGAAAGCACCCCCAGGGTTAGGGGTAGAGACCCCAGCCCCACCCAGCAGTCTGCCTTAGTTACAAGGCCTTTCCACTCTGACAGTGGTCTGAGAAGTCTGACAGCCACCTAGTGAAAGGCCTGTGGGTGGGGTTGAGTCAGAGTGGGGCCCCACAGGGTCCAGAGGAAACCTACTCTCCCCCAGAAAACCTCAAGACATTATCTCAGAGGTGGGGGGCAGACTTAAGCTTAGGGTCTCTCAGAACAAAGCTGAGGTACGCTCAGGAGAGGCAGCAGAGCACCAAGTAAGGCTTGGGGTCATGGGAAGTTGAGGAACAAACTTGGGACCTCCTTCACACAAGGCATGAATCCCTAACCCCAGGCTACCTACCCTTGCCAAAGACTGGGGTCATACCCAGCAGGGTCACACACAGTATCCAGGGTCAAACCATCAGGATGCATGGCACCTGTACTCTTCACCAATGTGACCTGTTTAGTAAAGACCCCTGGAGACGGATGCAGGAACCAGAAATTTTGAGGATCCCAGCAAGGAAGCAGCTGGATACCTGCAAGGGATCCCCTGTAAAGACAGGCAGCTGAGGACAGACACCTCAAAGTCTTCTGGGAAACCTTGGCAGGACTGAGTCCAGCCCATGAATAGAGGTCCCCAAACTAACCCTCTTAGTACAGTGCTCTCCTGGAACTCTACCTTTTTAAAGCCAATAGAAATCTCCCCTATTCCCAAGGATACCACCACCCCTGGACCATTCTTTGGGAAGTTGTGTGGTTTACCCAGGGGCGTCCTGGACTCAACCAATCTATGCCTTTTCCACTCAAGAGACCACATAGACACAGTTTGCTCAACTTTTTAATGGACACATACATCAACATTGACTCAGGCTATTGTGATTGGTGGACACACGCCCTGCTGGCCTCAAAGCTGGAGAGCTGCATGCTTCCGCACCACAGGGACCTCAATGCGTGCTCGTGGGTACTACTGATGGGAACCCTTTCCTCCTGAGTCTTCTGTAAAACTCATCCAATACTGTGAAACGGTCACCAAAAGAAACCCATTTTCTCCCAAATTAATAATAGAAGTTCACATTCACTACTACAGTCAAACTGGATGAGAGACCCTGTGCGTGAAGGGCTGATCCCCAGTGAGTGGACAGATCATCCCAGGGTGCTGGGCGCACACACTCCCTGTCTAACCTCCCCGTGACAAGAAACTAAATGAAGTGCAGATATGATGGCAGGGTACATCTAAGACCCACAAGGGGACCAGGGGCCTTGGCATACACCAGGGTTCAGTTCCTGTGGGACTGGCCACCTCCAGAGTCCATAGGTTTAAAAAGACATGAAAAAAGAGAGGTGGAGTTTATCTTTGTGTACATGTGGGTCCCTCTGCCCCAGAGGCCAGATTGGACACCCAGACTCTGGTCTCTCCCCTCAGACACAAGCAGTTAACGGTCAATGCAGCCAGCAGGTACTGTTGATTCTTTAACTGGGGCCACCCCCATGGAAAGTGGGGGGGGGCAAGTCAAGATATCCAGCCCATGGTACAGCTCCGATGGTTTCCCCAAACCATGAATCTGGGGGCCATGTCATGAGACTCCAATGAGAACTGTTCTCTCTGACTAGCTCTGGGAAGGGACTCTGAGAGCTGGGGTGCTCAGCCACCCCGTTCTTCCCAAAGGCTTCCTTTACCCTAACTGGAAGCCATGCACCATCACAAACCTGGAAACCAAACCCTCCAGGGCTGCAGCAGGTACTCCGTGCTGCAAAAGCCCCTGGCAGGACCATCCTGGCCTGGGGTCAGGTAAATGGGACAGCAGACTGAGGTGAGGTAGTCAACAACAAAACATGAAAAATGGGGGGGCACACCAGCGCCAGGCACAACCACCCCGGAGTTCAGTAGAATTCCAGGAATAGAGAAAGGGGATGCAACTGACCACCTTGCTTTTTAAATCCCCAATGCAGCAAGGTGGGGACCACCCAGGAGCAGAAACCAGCAACACAAACGAGGATAAACAAGAACAAGAGATGAACAAACATTCTAGAAGTTCCCCCATCTACCTTGCTGCTTTTCCACCTGAGAGGGAACACGGAGAGGGAAAAAGGGAGCTACAGCAGAGACCACGCCCCTCCCCCTCAGAGACGGATGACCACAAGGTGAGTTCCCAAAAGTCAAAAATCTGGGTTCATTTAACAAGAAGAAAAGTGGGGAATTCAACGTCTTTGGTCTTCTTTCAGCTCCTGGGTATGGGTAGTCCCCAAATCACCTCTTGCGGGATGCTGTGGATAAATACAGACAGTTTAAGAATTGAGCCCAGCAGCAAGGGCGGACGAAAGTGTTTCATTGTTCCCCAAGGCTCAGTTTCTACCCCCACCAGCCTCCAGAAAACACCCTCCACCGTTAGGGTCACACACTGTAAACAGTGGAACCTCAGGTCCTTCACTTCTTATGGTGGCACAAAACCACTTCTCACTAAAAGCTGAGTAATGGGTGTGATCACCCAGCAGCGCCCCACCCCCCCAAGCATGTTGGCTTCAGGAGTCTGGACTGCTGCCCCCTAAAACCTCAGCTGGCCCAGAAATCCCCCCAGGGTCTCCCTCCTACTGACACCCCCAAACCAGGGTTTTCCTCACCACTGCAGGCACGGGTGCTCTCCGGCTTTGCCTTGGAGCCGTGTGCTGTGGGGGACCGGGGGTCCTTCTGGCTTGCAGCCTCCCGCTTGGACTTTGGCTCTGTCTTGGGCACTGCTGGCTTCTTCTTGGGGTCTCCCGAGTTGGTGAAGGAACGGGGGATGGCACTCACATTCCCCTCCTTTCCTGCAGACTGTGGGCTCTGATCCTCCGCCCAGCCCATGGCCTTCTTTTTGGGAGGCCCGTCCTGCCCACCGTTCTGGTCAGACTCGGGGACCACCCCGGGGTTCCCAGCTGCCGCCTGGGCTGCGCCACTTTGGCGGCTGGGAGCCCGGGCTGGGGACTCCTCCTTGGCTCGGGGCTCCTCTACCACCTCCTGCTTCACACTGGGCGCCAAGGGGACCTTCTCTTCGAGGGGCTCGCCCTTTCCCCCAGCCTCCGCCTCGCCGCTGGGTGTAGGGGCTGTGCCTTCCTCCTTGAGGGTCTTCTTCTGCTTCTTCTTCCGGGTGCGTGTCTTGGCGCTGGCCTTGTGCCCCTCAACTTTGGGAAGCTCCCCCTCCTCCGGGGCGCCATCCCTGGGGTCGGGCTGCTCCTTCTTGATGGCGGGGCTCTCCTGAGCCGCGGCCTCTGCACGGCCCCGCTCTTTCTTGCCCTTCCTCCCCGCCTGGGCTGCTGCGGCTGCCGCCACTGTGGCCGCGGCCCGCGCCCGCTCCTCCCCGCACGCGCGCATCTCGGCGTCCACGTAGAAGACGATCTGCACCACGGCGCCCAGCAGCACCCCCAACGCCTCAGCCCAGTTCTCGGGCGGCTGGTGCTGGGAGGGCGCCGGCTGGTGCAGCTGCAGGAGGCGCCCCACGTCCTCCCACGTGCGGCCCTCGGCGTCCAGGAACTGGTTGAGGTTCCGGAGGAACTCGGCATCCTGCGCGGGGTCGCGGCACAGCACCCGCCACGTGCCCCCCCGGCCCGGCACCTCGCGGGGCACCGCGCTCAGGCTCACGCCCTCGCCCACCTCCACCAGCGCCGCCTTGGCGTTCTGCTGCCGCACGAAGATCCGGTTGAGCACCGCGAAGGACCCGAGCGGCGCGAGCACGCCGTGCAGCGTGTCCTCTATCTCGGCCTGCCCGCAGTCCTCCGGGATGCCGGTGACAAGCAGCGCGCGCCGCATGTCTACCTCCATCCCGCGGCACCAGTCCTCCAGCAGGTGCATCAACATGCTCGCGGGCCTGCAGGGCGAGCCGAACGGGCCGGTTAAGGCCCCGAGCCCCGGTCCCGGGCTCCCCCGCCCCGCGCGCCCGTCGCGGCCTCGCGCGCTCCCGCCCCGCCGCCGCGCGCTCACACGTGGCGCCGACTCGACCCCGTCGACTTGCTCCCAGCCCCGCCGCCTGCCTCGCCGCCCGCGACCGGCTTCCGAGCCGCAGTTCCGGCTGCTCTGCTCCAGGAGAAGCCGTCGGGCTGCGGCCGCTCGCGCGGAAAGAGCCGACGGCTGTGGCGCGTGGGGCGCGCAGTAGCCCCGAGTCACGAGACGCCTCGAGCCCGGCGGCCGCACGGAGCCCGCGTAGCAGCGTGCGCCTGCGCACTGGCGCGCGCGCCGCCCGGGAAGCGCCGCCCCGCCCGCCGTCTCCATGGCGACGGGCCGTTGCCAGCCCGCGCGAGCCACCTCCCTCCCCTCAGTCCCGCACGCCAGCGCTCCCTAATGCGGGTTTGTCCGCTGTCCTCGCCTCACTGCGGCGCCCAGGGCCAACGAGGCGGACCCGGGGGGCGCTGGCGGCCCGGGGGGCACCCACTCGCCTGTCTCTTGTCTTCATTTCAGATGCGCTCCCGTGAGTCGCCGGGAAGGAGCGGCCTGTGGAGAACCCCCCAGCAAAATGGCGTCCTTCCGGCCCCGCCCCTCCATGGCTAGGATTTCCGGCTTCCAGAAGTTTCCAGGAGCATGTAGCAACTTCTTGAAGCTTCTCCTGCTTTTTCTGGGTTTCTGTCTCTTTTTTCTGGGCAGCCGGACTGTGGAATTCCCATCTCCAAGCATTTAGGTGGTGTCTCACCTTTCCTTAACTTGCCCGCCAGTTTTATTCGTTCTTGTCGGGCCGTACCTAGCAACGTTGCTAGCAATGTTGTTCTCCGGATGGGTGCTCTCTGCGGGCGCTTTCTGCTCCTTCCTCTTGGGAGGGATACACAGAATCCCCCCCCCCCATTTTTTTTTGGTTTTGTTTGGGGGCCACATCTTTCTGTGCTCAGGCATTACTCCTGGCTCTGCACCCAGGGATCACGCATCATATCCTGGCGAGGCCCAGGAAACCATATGCAGGATGCTGGGGATCGAGCCCAGAACTCAACCAGTCTCCCAGCTGTACTGTCTCTCGGCCCCCAGCGAAATCTCTCTGAGCCAGACGTAATGAAGATTGAATGGGCGCGCACGTGAAAGGTGTGCTGAAGTACTCTTTTGACCATTCTTAATATTTGCTGTTCAGATTCTGTTCTTCAGGTGCTTTATCAAAGGAACGTGGGGCCAGAGCAATTGTACAGTGGGTGGGGAATTTGCCTTGCTCGTGGCCGACTGGGGTTTGATACCCATTGTCCATTAGGGTACCCGAGTACCACCAGGAGTAAGTCATGAGAATCACCAAGTGTGGCCCCAAAAGAAACAAATTTAAAAAATAAGGAATCCATATTCCACTGCCCTCTCAGCCATTACTGAGGTTGGGCGTGGTTTGTGTCATCGTGGTTCCCAAGATGCCATCACAGCCCACGCCAAAGGTGATGTCATTACAGGATATAAAACCTGAATACTCGCTTTTCTCCTCCTGTTTTGGGGGCCTTCCCTGGCAGTGCTCAGAGCTTCTTCCTGCCTCTGCACTCAGGGATCACTCCTGGTGAGACTCAGGGGACCTCAAGCCTTTATAGGGGAGTTCATGGATCAACCCCAGGTCAACTATATGTACAAGGCAAGCAAGCCAAGCCCTGAACGCTGTCCTGCTATATTGCTCTGGCCCGAATACTTACATTCTGATAGAGGTAAACAATGGAACTGTTACTAGAACTTTCAAGTGTCTCCGTTTTTTGTGAGGTGCAGGTAGAAAGATATGAAATTGAATTTTATTTTCTTTTTGCATCACACCCCGCGATATTAAGGGGTTACTTCTGCCTCTGCACTCAGGAATCACTCCTGATGGTGCTGGGGGGGGGAACTATGGGATGGCGGGGATTGAACCTGGGTTGGCTGCGTGCAAGGCAAATGCCCTTCCCGCTGTACTATCACCCTGGTACCTATGTACTGATTTTAATTTTTTTTACTTTTTTTTATTACCCCCTCCACTGGGCTGGAGCGATAGCACAGCGGGTAGGGCGTTTGCCTTACGTGCAGCCGACCCAGGTTCTATTCCTCTGCCCCTCTTGGTCAGCCCAGCAATACTGCTACCGAGAGTATCTCACCCTCATTGCAAAGCCTTACAAGCTAACTGTAACGTATTTGATATGCCAAAAACAGTAACAAGAAGTCTCACAATTTGTTGTGAGACGTTACTGGTGCCCGCTCGAGCAAAATCGATGAACAACGGGGGGACAGTGCTACAGTGCTACCCCCTCCACTGTTGTTGATGATATTGATGCAGTGACAGGGGTGTTAATTGGAAATGGGATGCTTAGAATGCTGTGGAGCTCATGAGGAGGTGGTGTCTTATGAGCTTCTGCTGTGATTTTATTTTATCTTCATTATTTTTCTTGCATTATTTTTCTGTGTTTTCAAACATTATTTATTTGAAAACACATACATAGAAGAGCTAGTTCAGAAGGCTGGAGCACTTGAATGGCATGCATAGGGCAAGGGGGATATTTATCCACTGCACCGTATGAGCTCACAAGCATCACAGGGTAGCCCCTCCCAAAAAAACACACCATCTTTCGCCAGGAGCTAGAGATAGTCTAGAAAATAGAGTGCATACAAAAGGGGTTCAGTACCTACAACACATGTGGTCTTGCCCCAGCACCATCAGGAATAACTCCTGAGCACAGACAAATGTCGCCCCAATCCTGCCCCCCAAAAACGCATGCAGCCATAAATGACACTAATAATTGAGGAGTGCGGCAGTCTGTCCTCTCCTTTTGAATCTGATCCCTCGTGCATTGGTATTTTTGTTTGTTTGGGAGCCACAGCTGGGGGACTTCCACCTGGCTCTGTGTTCAGGGATCACTCCTTGCAGGCTCTGGGACCAAATGGGGTGCTCAGAATAGTTGCATGCAAGACCAGTGCCACTGTGCTATCTCTACACCCTCTCTTCCCTTGTGCTTTAGTTTAAGGCTAAAGAAGGTGGTGGAAGGGGAGAGCAATTCAGGAAGAGGTTGTGTGATATCCCAGTCTTGGTGGGTTATAAATGAGCCTTTTGGGGGCTGGAGCGATAGTACTGCAGGTAGGGTGTTTGCCTTGCACAAGGCCTACCCGGGTTCGATTCCCAGCACCCCATATGGTCCTCTGAACACTGCCAGGGGTAATTCTTGAGTGCAGAGCCAGGAGAAAGCCCTGTGCATCGCCGGGTGTGACCCCAAATTTTTTTTAAATAATAAATGAGCCTCTTTCTCGACATTGGAACATCCTCAGGCCAGAGTTCCCGAGCTTCCAAGTTAGGTGCCCTCTGGCTGCCCTGCCATGGGGGATGTGGGGCCTTTGTCCCCAATCCTTATATCTGGGGATGCCCTCGGGGGGCAGGATCCTGGCTCTGGTCTTTCAGAGGGGGCAGCATCAGTCCTGAAGCACAGTTGTACACAGTGGCTGACCACCCTGTTCACTCCTGCCTGCCCTGTGGAAAATCACAGCAAGGAAAAGTGCTGTGAAATCCTTCTCACCCAGCTGGATGCAATCCAACTGCACTGTCCTTGAAAACGAACTGCAGAATCTTTACAACTGAGCCTCAAAAACCATTCCAGCAGTGTGCACTGCTCTAGCGCTGTCTCCCTTTCTGCCTGAGCTCAGAGGAGTTAAAAAAAAAATAAGCCTCTTGCAACCAATTATTTGTGTCCATTTCTATCTCAATTTCCTCTCGAGAGGGATGTGGGCCAGACCCACCCACTGATGAGACAAAGGCAATTGCTGGCACTAGTGTTGCGGCTCTGAGAAGCCTCCATGATCTCAGCCCCGCCCCAAATACGGGACAAACAGTCATCTCAGGAGGCCAGAGGAATAGCACAGTGCATGCCATGCAGGTAGCTAACCCTAGTTGGATCCTGGCACCACGTGGTCTCCCTCATCATCACAGGGGGAACCCCAAGAACCACAGGATGGGAGCAGTAGTGCATCAAGAGGCTTCGTCTCAGATCACTGGCCAGGGTTGGCCAAGAGGGGCCAAGAAGGACCCTCAGCCTTCTAAATATGGAGATCACCCAACATTTTTTGATTCCCGGCAAGCTACTGAGAGTATCTCGCCTGCACGGCAAAGCCTGGCAAGCTACCCACAACGTATTCGATATGCCAAACACAGTAACAAGTCTCACAATGGAGACATTACTAGGCATTGCTTGAGCAAATCGATGAACAACAGGACGACAGTGCTACAGTTTTTGTTTTTGGGCCACACCTGGGTGTGTTAGGGCTTGTTCCTGCCTCTCCACTTAGGAGTCATTCCTAGTGGCCTCAAGGACCTACATAGGGTGCTGGGGATGAAACACACGTCAGCTATGTGCAAGGCAAGCGCCCTCCCTGTTATACTATCGTTCCGACCCAACTTTTTCCTCTTTTGGCAGAGGGGAATTTAGCACTGATGCATGAAATCACCCTTAAGAAGCTCAGTATGGTGGCTGGCGTGATAGTACAGTGAATAGGGCGTTTGCCTTGCACACGGTTCACCCGGGTTCGATTCCCAGCACCCCATATGGTCCCCCTAGCACCGCCAGGAGTGATTCCTGAGTGCATGAGCCAGGAGTAACCCCTGTGCATTGCCAGGTGTGAACCCCCAAAAAATAAAGCGAAAAAAAGTTCAATATGGGGCTGGCGTAGTAGTACAGTGGGTAGGGCATTTGCTTTGCATGCAGCCAACCCGAGTTCGATTCCCAGCATCTCACATAGTCCCCTGAGTACCACCAGGATTAATTCCTGAGTTCAAAGCCAGGAGTAACCCCTGTGCATCGCTGAGTGTGACCCAAAAAAGAAAAAAAAGAATAAAAAGAATCTCGGTATGCCATATGCCAAGCAAATGCCTGAGTCAGTGACTATAAGGCAAGTGCCCTTCCCATTATCCTATCTCTCCCACCTTTTAAAAGTCCTTTGACTTTTAAAAGATAAA